CCCATGGATTCAGAATTGGCTTGCCCATAGAAGACAGAGGGTATTGTTGGAAGGGTGTTTTTCAGGCTAGAGTAACGTGACAAGTGGTGTTCCACAGGGATCTGTCCTGGGACCTCTGCTCTTTGTGATACATGTAAATAATTTGGATGAAAATGTAGATGGGTGGGTTAGTAAGTTTGCAGACGTTGCAAAGATTGGTGGAGTTGTGGATAGTGTAGAAAGTTGTCAAAGGATACAGCGGGATATAGATCAGTTGCAGATATGGGCAGAGAAATGACAGATGGAGTTTAATCCAGGTAAGTGTGAGGTGCTGCACTTTGGGAGATCAAATGTTAAGAAAAAGTATGCAGTTAATGGCAGGACTCTGAACAGCATTGATGTACGGAAGGATCTTGGGGTTCAAGTCCATAGCTCCCTGAATGTAGCCACACAAGTAGATAGGGTGATAAAGAAACTGTAGTGGCATGCTTGCCTTTATTGGTTGGGGATTGAGTACAAGAGTCAGGATGTCATGTTGATAACAAGGTGTAGAGCTGGATGAACACAGCAGGCCAAGCAGCATCATAGGAACAGGAAGGCTCATTAGCCTTCCTGCTCCTATGATGCTGCTTGGTAGCCTTCCTGCTCCTATGATGCTGCTTGGAAGCCTTCCTGCTCCTATGATGCTGCTTGGTAGCCTTCCTGCTCCTATGATGCTGCTTGGAAGCCTTCCTGCTCCTATGATGCTGCTTGACAGCCTTCCTGCTCCTATGATGCTGCTTGGAAGCCTTCCTGCTCCTATGATGCTGCTTGGCAGCCTTCCTGCTCCTATGATGCTGCTTGGAAGCCTTCCTGCTCCTATGATGCTGCTTGGCAGCCTTCCTGCTCCTGTGATGCTGCTTGGCAGCCTTCCTGCTCCTATGATGCTGCTTGGCAGCCTTCCTGCTCCTATGACGCTGCTTGGCAGCCTTCCTGCTCCTATGGTGCTGCTTGTCCTGCTGTGTTCATCCAGCTCTACACCTTGTTATCTCAGATTTTCCAGCATCTGCAGTTCCTACTATCTAGGATGTCATGTTGCACCTTTATAAGATTTTGGTTAGGCCACACTTAGAGTATTGCGTTCAATTCTGGTTGCCACATTACAGGAAGGATATGTAGGCTTTGGGGAGGGTGCAGAAGAGGTTTACCAGGATGCTACATGGATTTAAGGGTAAGAGCTATAAGAAGAGGCTAGAAAACCTTAGGTTGTTTTCTCTTGAACAGCGCAGGCTGAGAGGAGAGTTGAAAGAAGTCCTTAAAATTGTGAGATGCATTGAGAGGATTGACGGTCGTAATCTTTTTCCCAGAGTTGAAATGTCTAATATGAGGGAACATGCATTTATGGTTAGAGGGGGAATGTTCAAGGGAGATGTGAGTGGCAAGTTTTTTGCACAGAGGGTGGTAGGAGTCTAGAACGCACTGCCAGGGGTAGTGGTGGAGGCAGATATGATAGGGGCATTTAAAGGACTTTTAGATAAGCACATGAATATTCAAGGAATGGAGGGATATGGACCAATGGCAGGCAGAAGGGATTAGTTTTATTTGGCATCATGTTCAGCATAACATTTTGGGCCGAAGGACCTTCTCCTGTGCTGTACAGTTCTATGTTCTATCGATAACTAGATAATGAGCGTCCAGAGGCAGTATGTTCCTGTTAGTGTGAATGGCAAGGCTGGTAGGTGTCGGAAATGCTGGATGAGTAGAGAAATTGGGGGTTTGGTCGAAAAAATGAAGGAAGCATATGGCAGGGATAGACAGCTGGGATCGAGTGAATCAGTCGAGCAGTATAAGTGTAGTAGGATTATACCCAAATGAAATCAGGAACACAAAAAGGGGACAAGAGATCTTTTTGGCAAATAGAGTTCAGGAGAATCCAGAGAGATTCCACATATACATTGAGGGTAAAAGAGTGACTAGGGAGAGAATAGGGCCTCTTAAAGATCAATAAGGCCATCTTTGTGTGGAACCGCAGGAGATGAGTGAGATACTAAACAAGTATTTTGCTTCAGTATTTACTGTAGAGAAGGATATAGGGACTAGAGAACTTGGAAAAATAAACAGTGATATCTTGAAAAGTGTTCATATTATATAGGAGCAGGTGCTGGAGTCTTAAAACACACAAAGGTGGATAAATCCCTGGGACCTGATCAGGTATATTCCAGAACTTTGTGGGAAGCTAGGGATGTGATTGTTGGGCACTTTCCTGAGATATTTTTATCATTGATAGCCACAGATGAGTTTCCAGAAAAATGAAAGGTGGCTAATGTGGCAGCATCTAAGAAAGATGGCAAGGAAATGCCAGGGAGCTACAGACCAGTGAGCCTGATGTCACTGGTGGGTAAGTTGTTGGAGGAGATGTGAGGGACAGGATTTACATGTATTTGAAAGGAAAGGACTGATTAGGGATAGTCAAATGACTTTGTGCTTGCTAACTTGCTTGAGTTTTTTGAAGAAGTGACAAAGAAGGTTGATGAAGGCAAAGTGGTGGACGTTGTCTATATGGACTTCAGCAAGTCATTGACAAGGTTCTGCATGGTAGACTGGTTAGCAATGTTAGATCACATGGAATCCAGGGAAAGGTAGCTATTTAAATACAAAATTGGCTTGAAGATAGGAGACAGAGGGTGGTCGTGGAAGATTGTTTTTTGGACTGGAGGCCTGTGACCAACGATGTGCCACAATGATTGGTGCTGCGTCCACTGTTTTTTGTCATTTATATAAATGATTTGGATGTGAATACAGGAGGAATGATTAGTAAGTTTGCATATGACACTAAAATTGGTGGTGTAATGGACAGTGAAGAAGGTTACCTCAGCGTACAACAGGACCTTGATCAGACCTTGGACTGAGGAGTGGCAGGTGGAGCTTGATTTAGATAAATGTGAGATGTCAGGACTTATACACTTAATGGAAGTGTTGTGGGGAATGTTGCTGAACAAAGAAGTCTTGCTGTACAGGTTCGAGTTCCTTGGAAGATGAGTCACAGGAGGACAGGGTAGTGAAGAAGGCATTTGGTACACTTAGCTTTATTGGTTAGTGTAGTGTATAGGACTTCGGATGTCATGTACAGGACATTGGTTGGGCCACTTTTGGAATTCTCCATTCACTTCTGGTCTCCCTGCTATAAGAAAGATGTTGTTAAACTTGAAAGGGTTGAGAAAAGATTCACAAGGATGTTGCCAGGGTTGAAGGATTTGAGCTACAAGGAGTGCTGAATAGGTTGCGACCATTTTCCCTGGAGCGTCAGAGGCTGTGAGATGACCTTACAGAGGTTTATAAAATCATGAGGGGCATGGATAAGGTGAATAGCCAAGGTCTTTTGTCCAAGGTAGGGGAGTCCAAAACTAGGGGGCTTTGGTTTAAGGTGAGAGGGGAAAGATATAAAAGGGACCTAAGGAGCAACTTTTTCATACAGAGGGTGTGCATGGAATAAGCTGCTAGAGGAGGCAGTGGAGGCTGGTACAATTACAACGTTTAAAAAGCATCTGGATGGGTATATGAATAGAAAGGGTTTAGAGGAAAATGGCCCAAATGCTGGCAAAAGGGACTAAATTAATTTAGGATATCAATTGGTATGAATGAGTTGGACTGAAGGGTCTGTCTCCATGCTGTACAACTCAATGACCTGGTGCCAGAAGCTTGGCTCTGACTATATTCCTTTGCCTGTTCTTTCTGGACTGTCTGGTGGTCACCTGTCCTCTTCTTTCTTCTAGTCCTATGAGCTCGTGTGTGACTACCTCTCTAAATGTGTTATCCACATAGCTTTCAGCCTTGCGGATCTGCCATGTGTCTCCAACTGCTGTTCAAACTCCAAGACCCTAAGCCCCAGTTTCTGCACTGGGAGCACTTTCTGCACATGTGGTCAACTGGGACTGGCAGTGCCCAGGACTCCCCACATATTACAAATTGCACATTCCACTCAGCTGACCTCTCCTGACATCTGTTAAACTTACAATTAACATCTTAGATTAGAATTATTAGTCTTATTTTGTTAGACTTCTTGCTCTATCCCTAAGGTTATGAAAAGGTTAACTGTAACTAAGTTCCTACTGCTCTAAATCTATAAGGTAAAAAAGGATTAACCAATAATTGTCAGGTGCCCAGTACTCACCAGTCTGGAGCTTTTCTCAACTTCTGAAGTTGAGATGTCAACAAGAGTTATACTGAAGATTCTCCCAGTGTTCTTGCAGCTTACCAGTTACTGTGTCCCTCCCTGCCTCCTGGCTGCTGTTATGGGGTTTCCCAATAGCTACTCCAAGCTAAGTGCCCTGTAAAGACTTCCTCTGCACCTTCTCTGTAGCTGTAACACTATATTCTACATTCTGTTCCAATATCCTAATGTACTTTTATAAGGTATGATTTGTCAGGTTAGCACAGAAAACAATAATTTTCACTGTATTTTGGTACATAATAATAAAACAAATCAACCCTCTTGTTCTCTGCTTTGACCCATTGAAGAAAACCAAGACATACCTTCTAGTTTGGAACAAATTTGAGGTTGGGTAGTTATGTTACTGCTATGTAACTCTTCACCTTGGTATTCTCTCCTTTTATAACCTAATTTGGAAAGTTGCGAACATTGATGCTGTGATGATTATTAAGATTAGGAACACTTCATTGTCACTCAGGATTTCTGCGCATCTTACAGTTGAAGTAGACCTATAAGATTTTTTTTAGGAATATTTATTGAAAACTTTTGCCAAAAAAAGCCTTCTTTGAGTTGTTCCTGTTTTTCTGCTGTAGTCTTGATGGAGTTTCAGTGGAATTATTGCATATGTTGTGTTGACAGCATTTCCAGAGAAGTTACTGCTGCAAAAGGGATAGCTATCAGAAAATTCTTGGATTTTAGATCTCAGCAGAGCACACAAAAGCGAAGGGTCAGTATTAAGCCTGGATTAGGCCACAATTAGTGTATGTGGTGGAGTTTCTTTACGTGTTAATGTGTGTCTAATTTAAAAGTTTTATTCTTTCACGTTTTTCAGAGCTAGTCCAGATTATCAAACATACATGTTAACAAAATACGATCAAGGCCGTCTATTTAGAAAAAGGGCAAGATTTATTCAAACTGTCAAGGAGCGTTTATCCAGCCTGTATCTTTGGAAAACAGACATTCATGATATTGAAGGTGAGAAATTTTGAATTATCATTCAGCTAAACAGTTGAATTGCATCAGTCTGTTTTGATAAAATGTTAACAGCTCATTTTTAAAAATGTTGTTGATTTGAGTTCTTTTTTTAAAAAAAGTGGATAGGTGTGAAATGTGAGACTAGTTTGTTTACCTTCTAAGGGAAAGAGGACTTCAGTTCATGAAGTGGCTGGGATTTGATTGTCAGGTTGTAATCGCATATTTGTTATGAAATACTACGAGATAGATATTTATCATCCTAAAGGTGAAGCACGTAAATTATAAAATCTGTATATACAAATTAGTTTGAAGGTGGCACTGCAGATTAAGAAAGTGATTAGTGATGCAAATCAGATCCTGAGCTTTAACAATAGTAGCTGGAGTACAAAAACAAGCAAGTTATGAGAACATTTGCATAACACTGACTTGGTCTCAACTGGCATACTGTGTCGAATTCTGGACATTGAACCAAGGGTAGAATGCAAACGTTTTAGAGAGTCTGCAGAAAAGATTTAACTGAATGTAATTCCTCATCCCTGGAAACCAGTTACTTGGGTACAAGCTAGTGATGTTCTCCTTTATAAAGAAAATTTCGAGAGGAGATTTTGGTAAATGTTTTCAAAATCATGAGGAATCTGGAAAGTACTGAAGGTCAGAAGAGCCTTATTACGCATAGATCCCTGAAGGTAGGGCAAGTAGAGAAGACTGTTAAGAAGGCGGATCTGATACATTCCTTTATTAGCTGAGACTGGTATACAAGAACAAGGAAGTTATACTGGAACTATACAAAACAGAGGTTAGACCATAACTGGAGTGCTGCATGCATTCCTAGTCACCATATTTTAGAAAGGATGTGACTGCACCAGAGAGGGTGGAGAGGAGATTCACCAAGATGCTGTGTGGGTTGGAGGGTCTTAGTTATGAGGAAATAGTGCATAGGTTATGGTTGTTTTCCTTGGATTAGCAAAGGTTAAGAGGGAACTTGATAGGGATGTTTAAGATTATGAGGGGCATGGATAGATTGGATAAGAAGACATTTACTCTACAGGTTTTATTTTCTTTATTCATTAACGGGATGTGGGCATCACTAGCTAGGCAGTATTTATTGCCCATCCCTAATTGCCCAGAGGGCAGTTTGGAGTCAACCACATTGCTGTGGGTCTGGAGTCACATGTACACCAGACCAGGTAAGGATGGAAGTTTCCTTCCTTAAAGGACATTAGCGAACCAGATGGGTTTTGATAATGGATTAATGGTCATCATTAGATTCTTAATTCCAGATATTTTTTATTGAATTCAAATCCCACCATCTGCTATGGTGGGATTTGAATCCAGGTTCCCAGAACATTATCTGGATCTCTGGAATAACAGTCCAGTGATACCACCACTGGGCCATCACCTCCCCGGTAGAGAAGTTAATAACCAGAGAGCAGATATTTAAGGTGCGAGGTGGAAGGTGAAGAATTGAGAATTCTTTTCACTCAGAAGATAATAAGAGTCTGGAACTCACTATCTGAAGGGGTGATTGAGTCAAAATCTCTTGTAATATTTAAGCAGTATTTAGATGTTCACTTGCGTTGCTAAAACCTTCCAGGCTGGGGACCAAGATCTGGAAAATGGGGTCAGTATAGTAAGACCTTTGTTGACCGACTCAGAAATGGTGAGTTGAATGGCCCCTGTTTGTGCTGTAAATGTCTGAGCCTGAGTCTGAGTAATAAAGAAGGCTAATGGGATGCTAATCTTTATCATGAGAGGAATTGAACATAAAAGTAAAGATGTTATGCTTCTATATTACAGAGCTTGGTGAGACCACATCTTGAATGCTGGGCGCAGTTTTTGGTCTCCTCATTTAAGGACGGATGTAAGTGGGAGGCAGTTCAGACGAGCTTTACTAGTTTGATATCCGGAATATCTGGAGTCTTAATAGAAAAGATTGGACAAGCTGGGCTTGTTTTCACCAGAGTTTCGAAGACCAAGGTGTTATTTGATTGATATTTATAAGATTCTGAGTGATCTTGACAAGATGGATGTAGAAATGATGTTTACTGTTGTGATGAGTACAGACTAGAAGATATTGTTTTAAATCAGGGGTTGCTCTCTTAAGGAGATGAAGAGCATTTTTTTTTCTTTCAGAGGACTTCGCAATTTTCAAACTCTCCTTCTCAAAAGACAGAGACAATGTCATTGAATATTTTTAAGGTGGAGGTGGTTGTCGTTAAACTGTGGGAATTGAAGGTTATTGGGGATAGATAGGATTATGGAATATGAAATGCCAACAAATAAGCCATAATTGTATTGAATGGCACCTAAGGGCTTTGTGGGTCTGCCTACAGCACATAGACTGTGTAGTTCAAGAAGGCAGCTCACCACGACCTTCTCAAGGGCAACTGAGGATGGGCAATAAATGTTGGCCGGGCAATAAATGTTGGCCAGCCAACGACACATTTGTCCCCTGAATTTAGAAAAAACAGGCTTGAAGGACTTAATTTTTAAGCTTGTATACCTGGCTGTTGAGGCTAGGTCAATTGAAAATTTAAAGGTATGATTCATAGATTTTTGTTAGGTAAATATATTAAAGTACATGAAATCAAGGCAGGTAAATGGAATTGAGGTACATGTCACCCAGTATGTATGTGAATGACAGAACAGGTTCAAAATGGCCTTCATCTGTTTTTGTATTCCTAGCTGATTTTTACATCATAGATGTAGCAGCAGAGTAGCCCATTCAACCCATTGAGCCTGTTCCAGTGAGCTCCTCCAGTGCTTCCTTCAGTGAAATCATGGGTTGATCTGATTATCCTCAGTTCACTTTTCTACTTAATCCCATAATCCTAGATTCCTTTAGTGGTTAGGAATCTGTCTATCTCAGCCTTGAATATACTTAACAACCCAACCTTGATGGCCCTCTGCAATAAAGAATTCTACAAATTCACTATTTTCTGAGGGAAAGAAATTCATCCTCATCTGTCTTAAATGGGTGACTCCAGACTTTCCCACAAGAGGGAATAACTTCAGCATTTACCCTAAGTATGTTTCAATACAATATTGAATTATTGAATTGATTTAATTTTTCTTTATGTCTTGCAGGCAAATTTGGCACTGGAATCCGATCTTACTTTTCCTTTCTTCGTTTTCTGGTTTTGTTGAATTTTGTGATATTTCTTTTAATGTTTACCCTTGTCACACTTCCAACCATCATTTCAAAGCACCAAGTTGTTAACACTACATACGCCGAAGTTCCATCCTCTGTAGTAGGTAATTAATCAAATGCATTAAATTTGGGATTTCAGATTATATATTTAGAAGCGTGTGTTAATTATAGTGCTCACTAAACTCTTGATCCAATCAAAGGAAACTCCAGATGAATCAGGTAGTATGCAAAATATCGGATTTGTATTTTCACTTTTCACATACAGATAACGTTGTTGGCTTCTCATGAGAAAATGAAATTGATGAAGATAACATTATGATGCTTTGGGTGCTGCTGGGATCTTTCTCACTCCAATCTACTTTTGTTCCGATTGAGACCCATACCTTTAATTAATTTTCTCATGTTGGCACAGCTGTTTTCCATACATGGGCAGAAAAATATTTTTCTTGTTTATGCAGTATTGTAACTACCAGCCATGGGCATATTTCTGCAATAATGTTCTTAGGCTGATCCTTACCATGCCTCATTTTTTGGCATATTTTGGTTATATATCTTGTTTTGGTCAATAGAGCTTTTTGGTAAAAAAAATTACAATTTTAAAATTTTGGCCACCTACAATGTATCAATGAGTTATCTGGCTCCACTAGGATCCTTATTGATAGTATAAGAACCACATTTTGTGGCGATGCTGACTCGTTTGCAGGGAATTGATGTGGTACTGGGATAAATGCAGGGTAGTGATGTGGCTAATGGTAACCAGAATGTGACAGGAAGGGATGGAGCATACAGACATTTGAGTGAACCAGCCAATAAGGTCAGATTGGTAAACATGGCATAGAGTTGATGAATGGGCAGCAGTAATTCAAATGAATAAGCATGATATCAAAGGGTGATGGTTAGGTTCTTTTATTGGAGATGGTCATTTGTCTGGCACTTGTGCGGCATGAATATTACTTGCAGCTTGTCAGCCCAAGCCTACATTTGGACATGGACTGCTTCGGTATCTGAGGGGTCACGAATAGTGCCTTCTTGAACCTCTGCAATCCATATGTTGTAAGTATATCCACAATGCTGTTAGGGAGTTCCAGGATTCTAATCCAGAAACAGTAAAGGAATAGCCATATAGGTAATAGGATGTTGCATGGCTTGGAGGGAAACTTGCAGGTGGTGGTGTTCTCATGTGCATGCTGCCCCTGTTCATCCAGGTGATACAGGTTGCATTTTTGAAAGGTGATGAAGGCTTTAAAGAATCTGATAAGTTGTTAATGCACATCTTGTAGATAGTACACACTGTAGGCACTGCGCATCGGTCAGGGAAGGAGTCAATATTCAATCTGTTGGATGGAGTGCCTGTCAAATGAGGTACTTTGTCCTAGATGGTGTTGAGCTCTTTGAACTTTGGAGTATTACTTATCTAGGCATTTAGAGAATATTCCATCACACTTCTGATTTTTAAATGGTGAACATGTTTTAAGAAGTCAGGAGGTCAGTTATTCACTGATTTATTCCTAGCCTTTGGCTGTTGTAGCCACAGTGTTTGCACGATTAGTCCAGTTCATTTTTTGGTTAATGGTAACCCCCACAATGTTGATTGTAAGGGATTCAGTGATGGTAACACTGTTAAACATTAAGGAGAGGTGGTTGAATTCTCTCTTGTATAAGATGAATTTTGCAAGGCACTTGTTTGTCACAGTTGTTACTAGCCACTTTTCAACCTAAGTTTGAATGTTGTCCAGGCCATCATTACACAGATTCCTTCAGAATCTCTGAGGAATCGCAATTAATGCTGGACATTGCAATCATCAGCGAACATCCCACTTCTCACCTTAACGATGGAGGGAAAGGCATTGATGAATCAGCTGGACAGTTAAGGTAACTATAAACACATGAGGGGAGGAGCTGACCAGAGTTGTTTGGAGGAGGAAGCTGAGTAGGGAAGATATTGAAACAGCAATGGTTGGAGTTTTTGAGGGTAACTCGGGAGGTAGCAGAAATTCATCCTAAGGAAGAAGAAGCATACAAGTGGGCAGACAAGACAACCATGGCTGACCCAGAAAGTCAGGGACAGCATAGAAGCAAAAGAAAAAGCACACCATGTGGTGAAGATTAGTGGGAAGCCAGAGGATTGGGAGCCCTTTTAAAAACAAGCAGAAGATAACTTAAAAAAAGCAATATGGCAGAGAAGATGAAATATGAGGATAAGCTAGCTAGTAATATAAAAGGAGTATGCAGGAGTTTTTTTAGATATATTAAAATATAAGATAGAGGCAAGAGTGGACTTGGACTGCTGGAAAATCAAGCTGGAGAAGTAGTAATGGAGAATAAAGAAATGGTGGAGAAACTGAATAGCTACTTTACATTAGTCTTTACAGTAGATGTAGCAGTATATCAGAACTTCAAGAGAGCAAGGGGGCAGAGGTGAGTGTAGTGGTAATTACTAAAAAGAAGGTGCTAAGGAAACTGAAAGGTCTGAAGGCAGACAAATCACTGATTAGATGGACTGCCCGCCAGAGCTGTCAAGGAGAGATCTGAAGAGATTATGGAGACATTGGTGATGATCTTTCAGGAATTACTGGAGTTGAGAAGGAAATGGATAATGTAACATCCTTGTCTTAAAAAGGGAGGGAGGCAGAAGACAGGAAGTAATTGAACTGATGTCACGAGTCTTTATGCAGTCTGTAATCAATGTTGAGGACTCCCAAGGATACTTGCTCTTTTATGTGTTTGGTCCTGTCCCATTGATGGGACAGTACATACCTGGGGATGGTGCCCAGGTTACCACAAAGTTAGATTCCTTTTGTCAGACATTGTGGTTGTTAGGTACTACTGAATGATTTGCTTAAATTTTAAAGGGTTGTCAAAATTCCAACACATTGCTATGGATCTGGAGCCATGTGTAGGTTGGACCATGTGAGGATTTTTAAAAAATTCATTGTTGTTGGTTGTAGGCGTCGCTGGCTGGGTTAGTATTTATTACCCATCCCTACTTGCCCTTGAGATGGTGGTACTGAGCTGACTTCTTGAACCGCTGCAGTCCACCTGCTGTGGGTTGACCCACAGTGCCATTAAGGAGGGAATTCCAGGATTTTGACCTGACAACAGTGAAGGACAGCGATATATTTTCAAGTCAGGGTGGTGAGTGGCTTGGAAGGGGATCTTGCAGATGGTGGTGTTCACATATATCTGCTGCCCTCGACTTTCTAGGTGGAAGTGGTCGTGGGTTTGAAAGGTACTATCTGAGGATCTTTGGTGAGTTTCTGCAGTGTATCTTTTAGATAGTACACACTGCTGCTACCGAGTGTCTGTGTTGGAGAAAATGGGTATGGTGCCAATCAGGTGTGCTGCTTTGTCCTTGATAGTGTCAAGCTTGTTGTGTTGTTGGGGCTGCACCCACGCAGGCAAATGTCCGGTACCAATTTTTTCTTTTCCTCAAGGATGTTAGGGAACCAGATGGGTTTTTACAACAATTGAGAATGGTTTAGTTGTCATTATTAGACTGACTTTTAATTCCAGATTTATTGAATTCACATTTCACTGTCAGCCCTGGTGGATACCCTCAAGCTTTATTCTGGGTGTGTGGATTACTCGTCCAGTGACATCACCACTTTGGCTGGTTCTCCTGCACTATCCCAATGTCCTTTTTTTTAATATACCTAAAGATGATAGCAAGACATTTAGAAAATCACAGGCACAATCAGGCATGGTTTTATGAAAGGGAAATCATAATTGACAAATTTATTTCAGTTCTTTGAGGAAGTAAGAAGCAGGGTGGATTAAGGGGAACCTGTCAGCATAGTGTGGCACATTGTTATATAAGATTCTGAGAGGAAAAAAAAATTCTCTTCATCTCTGTCCCTAAAGGGCTCCCCCAAATTTTAAAACTGATCCCCCAGTTCTGGATTCATCCACAAGACATCCTTTCCACGTCCACCTTGTCAAGGATCTCCATTTCAGACTGAGAAGAGTAATTTCTAACTCACATCCCCAGTGGATTTCATAAGTCACTGAATATATTCAAGGCTGAGTTAAACAGAATTTTGATGAGGTAGATATGAAAGGTATGAAAATGGAATTAATACTGCAGTTGGATCAGCCATGGTCTCAACCAATAGTGGAGCAGGCTGGATGGAGTGATTTGTCTTTTCCTGCTTATATTTGCTATGATCTTATAACTTAACAAAAATAAACTGCTACCAATGTACTAAACAGCTAGTTTTTTTTAAATTCTTTCATGAGATATGCACGTTGATGGCAAGGTAGCATTTGTTGCTCATTCCTAATTGCCCTTAGTCTAAGTGGCTTACTACGTCATTTTAGAAGGTAGTTGAAAGTCGACCATTGGATACAGAGTCATGGCAGCCAGACTAAAGAAAGAATGGCAGTGAACCAGGTGATTTTGTGCGATTATTGATACTTTACCACATCACTGTTTCCCCAGCTAATGTGCTTTTTTTCTTTGCTGTAGGTTGGAATCAATATGAGTGCCCTAATCCAAAAGCTCTTAGTATTTTCACTTTCGTATTTCTCTTCCTTTTCTCCGATGCAAGCACAGCAAAATAGTATATGAAGCTAAAGATTGTTTGAAATAATGAATATGACTATGTTTATTGTAGATGTTTCAAAAACTGGATTTTTTTTCAAAGGTTTTTTATTCCTTTTGGGATGTAGGCAAGACTGGCTAAGTCTGAAACAAAGAAGAAATTTTTGGAGAAACTCATCAGGTCTGGCAGAATCTGTGAACAGAAAGCAGCATTAACATTTTGAGTCCAGTTACCCTCTTTTTTTTCAAAATGTTAACTGTTTTCTTTTCGCAGATGCTGCCAGACCTGCTGAGTTTCTCCATCAGAGATAGTAGGAACTGCAGACGCTGAAGAATCTGAGATAACAAGGTGTAGAGCTGGATGAATACAGCAGGCCAAGCAGCATCAGAGACGCAGGAAGGCTGACGTTTCAGGCCTAGACCCTTCTTCAGAAAATCTGAAGAAGGGTCTAGGCCCGAA